CACACACACACACACACACACACACACACACACACACACACAATGACAAAGTGACATCTCTCCATCCAACAACAGCCTATCTCAACACACACACTCATGAAACGCCGCTCTTTCCCGCTCCTCTGCGGCGTTTTTCTCCTCGAGCCACACATCGGAGCTGGTCGGCTTCATCAAACATGCAGGTAAAAAAAAAAAATAAAAAAATAAAAACCAGAGTTCCACTGAGGACTGACCTCCCAGTCTAACGAGTCCCACTCCTCGGTAAACATCCGGAGGATTTCTCTTCATTCCAGGAGGAAAACGGAACGAGCCGCAGAAGGAGAAGCGGCGCAGCGGCTCCGTCAGGGAGCAGCCGGGCGGTGCGCTGCCACGACTGCACTGCTGCTGCTGCTGCTGCTGCTGCTGCTGCTCCTCCACGAGCCGCCGTCTGAGGAGGGAAGCATCTCTCACAGGATGGGCTCAGACTCACAGTCCAGCAGCTTTTCCTCTTCTTTTTTTTTTTGAGTAGCAACCAATTAGCGCAGCAGTTGCGCTCCTGACAGGCGCTCCTTCTCCTGCAGATGATGTTTGGAGAAGGACGGTGTGCTATTATTAAACACACGCTCTCCTTGTTTTCCAGAACATAGACTCGTCCAGAGCTAATMTCTCCTCTGCTGAGCAACAATCAAACATGATGTGGCTCATAAAGCACGTGACTCCGTCATGGTGGGAAAAAAAAGGCACATTTGGAGACCGGGGTGGGGGTGGGGGTGGGGGGATACTCACCATTAGCACGGCAAAGTTCTTATTCTGATGGCTGCAGCGGATGGTGGTGGTGTCGCCCCCGGACTGGGTTATGTGGCAGCCCTCTGCCCTCCAGCCGCCGCGTCCATCCAGCAGGTCAAAGTCCCAGTGGGCCGCGGCGGGGTCTACGCCCGGAGCCCGGTGCCTGAGCGCGACGGTGACGGCGGCGATCCCGAGGCTGCAGCCATCTGGGAGCAAAAGCAACAGGAAACTGTTGGAAGCATGTGCGCGCAAACTCCTGCGGCGTGCACGCCACAGACAAGTGTCGGACATTTACTGCAGCCCGAGGAGGAAGTGCGTTCAAACCCTCAACCTGAGCGCATTCTGACTTCATTCAGTCGTTTCTTCACGCGCGCGCAGAAACACAACCGATGGAGTGTGACTGTGCACGCATGTTTGACACGAGCATTGACATCATACGCTGCTGCTGCTGCTGCTGTGATGATGATGAAGATGATAAAAAGCACGGGTTTCCTCTTACCTAATTTGGAGAAAGCAACCGGTGTGGACACGCTCCTGCGCTTGCCGTCGTCTGCCAGCTTGGACGAGTTCCCGGTGCAGGGGAAGAGTTTCCCATCGCGGAACGCCACGAGCTGCAGCCTGCAAGGAGCGGAGCTGTTTGCAACAGATTGCAGCGCAGAGGAGGAGACAGGCGCGCTGAGAGCAGCCGCCGGGAAATGGATGGAGGCTACGGAGTTCTGCGGATACACGAGAAAAAAATAAAGTAAATAAAGAGATGAAAATGATAAAATCCCAGAGAGTCGCTGTCGGAATTAAAACCCGAGTTCTTCCTGTGAGGAGTGGAGGAGACCAAAACAAGCTGAGGAAGGAGTCTCGTGTCTGAAGTGAAGCGCGTGAGTTTGGGTCGGCTCCCTGTCGCAGAGGTGGAATGGTTCTTACCATTTCAGCTTCAGGGCACATCAACRCTGCAGCCTGATTTAAAGAGACAACCGGTCTGACTTCAGCCTCCTTCCAACAACAATTAACCCACAAACCTGCAGAGCCCTGCCATCAGAGGCTGGGCTGTCACAGCGTGCGCGTGCACTCGCCATCTTTCTGATGAAGCCACATTCATTCTGCTCTAACTTGCTTTTTATCGCTGTAGCTACAAGCACCCCTCCCCCCTCCCCATCTGTTCCCCTCCTATAACCCCCCGGGAGATTCTCCTGAAAATCCCTCCAGAATCACATCCAGGATCCAGACTTCGGATCGGTTCTGARGGGAGTCAGTTCTGCACAAATAATCAACACCGCAGCAACTTGAGCTGATTAAAGGCCTGGCAGCTCCTGCAGGAGTGAACATCACCTGCTGCCTCTCAGGTCACCTGATGCTGAGCTGTTTCAGAATAAAGTTAGGATCAGAGTTTGTGTTGCTGCTGACTCTCAGCTGCTACCATCACATCAAATATGTAGAAAAATTATAGAGTCAGACAGTCATTAAAAATAATAAAATAATGAAATAAAATACACATTATCATCCTCCTTCACCGACAGGCAACAAAAATACAAAACACTTTTATGAGTCGTTCCAAAACATTTATCTTACAATCCACAGAAAACTCTCATCAGATACAGATTTTACTGATAATCCTTAAACACAAACAGAATCAACCGTCAGCATCATCATTTGTCACTTTTATTTTATTTGTGAAGATGATCCCATCAGGATGTGTCCCACCTCTCATCAACACAAACGATCAAATGGATGGAGGTTTCTTTGGTGTATAGGTCTGCAATGCGATGCGATGAGATAAGATACGATAAGCTACGACACGATAAGACAAGACAAGATAAGCTAAGCTAAGCTAAGCTAAGCTACGATACGATACGATACGACAAGATAGACCTTAGTTGTCATTGTACAGAGCACAATGAAACTACAGTTCACCCATTCAGAAGAAGACAGAACGTAACAAACTCCCCTCCAGTAACGGATAAGCAGGATGACAGGGTTCAGGAGGAGATCAGGTCAGGAACATGCATTAAGATGCTTTTTAAAAACCCAATCAGTTTGATGTAGAAACAGATAAAGGTTGTGGGAAAAGAAATGCGATCACAGAAATGTTGGAAAGTTAGTGACATCATCACACTGTTACCTGAACATTCTGTGACAAAAACTCCCAAAATTTAGACGTACAGCTCCAAAGCGGACTGCTTTTTACCACCTGTTTGTGACAGTTTTAACAGTTTGATTTTGTAAATTTTCTCCACACTGTATGATGAGCTGCTGCCAAAAATCAGAGAGCACTATTCCCAACAGAGCCACACATTCTGATGTATTTTATGGGATTTTTTAAAGTTATGTGAAGAGTAGTGACTGAAATATTGAGACAGAAACAGAGCAATAATGAACAAATAACAAAAAGGATCTTATTGTCTCCTTCTTAAAGCATGCAGAATGAAATGGTGGGCTTAATGAGGACAGCATCATTAGTCCTGATGCATCTCAGTAATCCAGGTAAAAACTCAAAAAGAAAAAAATTGTATAGGTCCTCTGGACGGGTTCTTCTCTAATGAAATGTTTCGTCTCTCCTCCAAGAGACTTCTTCAGTCTGAGAGTTTCAGGCAAAGATGACAGCATCATTAGCATCATTAGGAGAGGCTTTGTGACTCCAGAGAAACACAAACAGGAAGTCCTGAACTTACTGGGTCTTTGGTGGACAAGAAACCCAACTCTGCTCTGGACTGATGAAGCTAAAAAGTCTAACTTTATGGGGAGAATGATCATTGAACCCAAAATGTTCTGTTCTTCTAATAGAATGCGGCTGATATCCAAGTCTCAGGAGGTGTCTTATTTAAGGTCAGAACTGTTGGTGACACTTGCCTCTCCATCACCATGAGAGGCAAAACTTCAGCAACAACAAGCTGCACAACTTAAGACCCCTGAACAATGACTTTGTAGACCCCTGAACGATGACTCTGTAGACAGATAATGATGACTCTGTAGACCCCCGAACGACGGATGTACACCCCTGAACAATGACTCTGTAGACCCCTGAATAATGGCTCTGTGGACCCCTGAACGATGGCTCTGTGGACCCCTGAACGATGACTCTGTAGACCCTGAACGATGGCTGTAGACCCCTGAACGATGAATCTGTAGACCCCTGAACGATGGCTCTGTGGACCCCTGAACAATGACTCTGTAGACCCTGAACGATGGCTGTAGACCCCTGAACGATGACTCTGTAGACCCCTGAACGATGGCTGTAGACCCCTGAACGATGATTCTGTAGACCCCTGAACGATAACTCTGTAGACCCCTGAAAGATAACTCTGTAGACCCCTGAACAATGACTCTGTAGACCCCTGAACAATGACTCTGTAGACCCCTGAACAATGACTCTGTAGACCCTTGAATAATGACTCTGTAGACCCCTGAACAATGACTCTGTAGACCCTTGAACAATGACTCTGTAGACCCTTGGACAATGACTCCGTAGACCCCTGAACAATGACTCTGTAGACCCCTGAACAATGACTCTGTAGACCCCTGAACAATGACTCTGTAGACCCCTGAAAGATGGATGTAGACCATGACTCTGTCTAGATGTCTCTGTCAAACTGGACATTTTAACCACTGAAGACTTCCTGCTGAACAACAATAGAAACCAGAAAGATGCAGATCTGTGGACCACATGGAGGACTGGCGGACTAAACCATTTCATCTGAGCAGTGTTGTACTCAGCAGACCTCCGTCTGGGTCAGATCTGGTTTAGTCCAGCTGATCATTGTTTAGCTTATTGCTAACTCTAGCRGGACAACATGAGGACTGAATGATGATGATGAGATTGTGATGAAGAACTGCATCTATAAACATCTCAACCTGTGAAGGAGGAACAGAGGCAGTTTGGTTTGCTATTCGTTTCTGAATCGACTCGCTCTTGAAAGATATAGATTTTCATGCAGTGTGTGTTTGAGTGTCTGTGTGTGTGTGTGTGTGTGGGGGGGGGGGTGGACGACGACAGCATCCTCGTCTTAAAATTGATGTTGCATCATTTCCTTTCTCTAAAGGCCTGTGGCTGAGCTGTGTGTCTTCCAGATGTGATGAGACGTGAGGCTGGATGACACTGAGGGGGAGTCTCCACTTTGAGCCGTAAACACAAACGTCTCCTTTTGGGAAAGATTTTTTTTTTTCAAAGAACAGAAGTTGTAAAGAGAAATCGTATCTGTCTCACTGTCCATCTCCACTCCTCCTGCATCTGCTCTCCTCTCGTATCACAGGGGTTTAGAGCCCAGAGGGTCTGCTGTAAGCCCCCTCCTGTACCTTTCTAAGAAACAATCTATGAGCAGCCTAAACAGCTACATTTCCTCCACCCTGCCATCACCAGGGACCTCTCACATCATAGTTGATTTAGCGAGTTGTTCCTAAACCATGTGACCTTTCTCCAAGCTCCTTCCTCTCTAGCAGGGCGGCATGCTGTAGCCGTAGTAACCACAATCACCAGCTCCCCGACGGCTCTCAGTCCAGCCTCGGGATCATTTCTTCTCTTCTTTTTGYCACTTATTCCTTCTCCACAGAGGGCATACGGGCGAATGCCAGCAGTCGCCTTCAATTTCAGGCTGTTCCCACTTGTCCACCTCCCTCCCTCCTCCTCCTCCACCTGTTCTCTGATGCACAGCTCAGTTTGATGGAACCACCTMGGTTCTAATATCCTGCAGGGCAAAACACAACGGTGCTGTTTGACCTGCAGCCACACAATCACAGCATCAACAACAGCTGAACTGGGTGGTGAGGGATCCTCWGTGACAGGTTTACACACAGAGGGGAAATATTCAGAACTTTTCATTAGATGAACCCTAAATAAGGATTACCCTGTGCTTTATTCTGTCATGGGAGGGATGCAGTAATTTATGTGACCCATCATAATATAAAGAGGATTAAATCAATTTTGGTCAAAATGACCTTATCACTTTTTCTGATTCTTGGCTTTAAAATATTTAAAATTTAATGTTTAAAATATTTTGATACTTCGATTGTTCATAAGTGGATCCAGAGATATGATGCAATTTGTCTCGTTGGTTACAATGATACATTAATATTTGGTCTGAATCCTAATTTTTTGTAATTTTAATAAAGATTTTTTATGTTATTTTAAAGAGGAAACATCAAATAGTATTTGAATGTTTTGGTTTCCGAGCTGAAAATATACAAAAACTTTGCTAGTTCACAGGAAATATCTCAAAATTTAAGACGTTTTTCCTCAAGATCAGGTTTTTTTGTTCACACTCTTTAAAAAATGTGCTTAAAAATTATTTCTT